CAGGTTATTAATAAATCTTCCTCTGATCTTGATGCTACCTTATTCTTCAGAGAATCAAGCTTCTTCTAGAATTTGTTCAACATACAGATTGAATAAGTGTGGAGACAGAATACATCCCTGATGCACTCCCTTCTTAATTTTAAACCATGTAGTGTTTCCTTGCTCTGTTCACACAACAGCCTCTTGATCTAGGTATAGATTTTGCATGAGCACAATTAAGTGCTCTAAGATTCCCATTCTTCTCAATGTTTGCCATAACTTATTATGATCCACACAGTTAAATGTCTTTGCACAGTCTTTAAAGCGTAAATAGTCTTCTGATTTTCTTTACTTTCAGCCAGGATCCACCTGACATCAGCAATTATATCCATGATGCCATAGCCTCTTCTAAATCATGCTTGAACTTCTGGAATTTCCCATCTATGCACTGTTCTAATAATTTTGAATGATCTTCAGTAATATTCTTCTTGCATGTAATATTAATAATATTGTTTGCTGGTTTCCACATTCTATTGGTTCACATTTTTCTTCCAATCCATTGGCCAGACAGCTGTCCTCCAGATTTCCTGGCATATACTAGTGAGTGCATCCAAGGCTGCATCTGTTAATTGAAACAAGGCAATTGATATCCTATCCATTGGTGGGGCTTTATTTTTTGCCAATGCTCTCAATGCAGCTTTCACTTCCTTCTTCATTACCATTGGTTCCTGCTCATATGGGGGGGAGGGATGTTGTTAAGTGCTGTGGAATTGCAGGTGACTCATAGCAACTCTATATATGAAAATCCTGAACACTGCCTGTATAACTTTTGTCCTCTTTTCAGGTTCATAGGGTTTCCAGAGGCAAACTGTTATGGAAGTGGATGCCACTCCTGCTTCCAAACTTGTTTTAATTGAGTAGCCTCACCATACACTGTCCACCATGGGTAACCATTCTCACATTTGACTCATCAGGGTCTCAGTGTTCGGCTTCACAGCAACCACGAGTTATCTCTGCACAGCAAGTGAACATACCAGGGATACACGACTAGAAGAATGTTTCACCAAAAACAATTAAAAGCAAGCCCAAGGGCCACGGAGTAGAGTCACTACCTTTGGCTTGGGAGCTAGGGCCTGGAGCAGGCTCCGTGGGCTCAATCCCACCCTTACTTACCCTTACTCTAAGGGTCAGGACTGCCCATGCAGCTTTGAAAGCCAAAAAGGACAGTAACACACAACACAAAAGACCCCAGAAACTTCCCTTGCCTGACTGCCACCAAGAAGAACCACCATGGAGGCGCCAGCCATCCTACCCACTTAGCCGGTTGACTTCCAGATTAGAGGGAGACTCCAATCCTGAAGCCTCGTGAAGGATCCCGCTCATATGGTACTTCCTGAAATTTTTTAGTGTCAGCCAGTTCTTTTTGGTACAGTGACTATACGTGTTTCCTCCATCTTCTTTAGATGCTTCCAGGATAATATATTGAGACTCAAGGCTTACATTTGTTTTTGTTTTTTTCAGTTCTCTCAGCTTGAGAAATGCAGAGCAAGTTCTTCTCTTTTTATTCTCCAGTTCCTGCTCTCTGCACATTCATTATACGATGTTACTTTGTCTTCTGAAGATTTCTTTGTCTTTTACTTCAGAATGTTTTCCTTTGTTTTGACTTCTCAACACTATAGGCAATTTTAAGTCTCTTCTGACTTCGATTTTGGTTCTTTCTTTCTCCTCTATCTTTGTAATGACTTTTTGTTCTCTTCATGGATAATACCTTCAATATCATCCATAACTCATCCGGTCTTTGATCATTGGTGTTCAGTGCTTCAAATCTACTCTTAAGATGATTTTTAAATTCAAATAAAATAGAGTCAAGATCATATTTTAGTTCTCATTGACTTGTTTTAATTTTCTTTGGCTTCAATTTGTACTTGCACATAAGTAATTGATGTTCTGACCCACAGTCATACTTTTAACTATGTTGAGGAAATTCCCCTCTATTCCTATTTTGTTGGGTGTATTTATCAGGAAAGGGTGTTAGATTTTGTCAAAAGCCTTTTCTGTATCGATTGATAGTATCATGTGGTTCTTCGTTTGGGTTTTTTTTAATGTTTCTTTTATATTGGTTTGTTTATAAAGTTTATATACATCGTATTTTATGCTATTTGTTATTTTATTTGTTGATTTTCAAATAAATTTCTTGAGCTTGAATACTAGTAACTTAAGACCAGACAAGTTGTGAGATGGCATCAAGGACATCATCCAGAAAATTCAGTATATGCTGGGCAAATAATCTGAGAAGTCGGACTATCTGAACTATGTTGCATTGGAACAGGAGATAAACTTAACAATTTGCCTTACGCAGATGATACAACTTTGTTTGCTGAAAGTGAAGACAACTTGAAGGAATTCTAAGACTTTCAGTATAGATCATTCTCATCTTAAAGAAAACAAAAATCTTCACGACTAGACCAATAACCAGCATCATGATTTATGGAGAAAATATTGGAAGCAATATTTGAGAAATTTCTTAAATGCATTACATTGACTAAACATGCTTCAAGAAACCTCTTTAAGGTACTCAATGGCAAAGACGTGCACTAATGTGCACATAAGTCAAGCCATGACATTTTAAATAGTTTATATGTGAAACGTATGAAAGTTGGACTATGAAAAAATAAAACTAGAGAATTTAAACCATTGAATTGTAGTGTTAGGATGAGTGTTGAATGCCAAAAGAACAAACACGTCTCTGTTGGAAGAAGTGCACTCAGGGTGATCCTTAGAGGCAATGATGGTAACCTTTGTCTAATATACTTTGGGTATATTATCAAGTGGTATTCACTGGACTTCCTTGTAAGTGTATGGTTGTAATTCTGTCACTCACGATGTTGTACTTCAAGATAGATCTAGAAATAACTTTTTTTACTATGAAGGCAACCCCATTTTTCCTTGTCTTTTCATCTCCAGAGTAATATATCATATGGTCATCTGACTCAAAATGCCCCATGCCAGTCCATCTCATCTCTCCAATGCCTAATATGTCAATATTTATGCGTTCCATTTCTTTCTTAACAATTTCTAATTTTCCTACATTCATGGTTCTCACATTCCATGTTCCAAACACTAGGGTCTGCTTACAACTGTTCCTCCTTCTTTGTATTTCCATACTTGATAGTTGTACCTAGGTTGCCCTTTCTGTTAGTCTGCGTGTGTTCTGTTGTGCATAGGGTTTTCAGAGACCTGCTATTTCAGAAGTGGGTGGCCAATCCTTCTTCCTAGTCTGTCTTAATCTGAATGTTCAGACTTAGAGGAGTATCTGACAGACAAGCAATTTGTGGTGCAGTGAAAGATAAATCCCTTATTGTGGAGTTAAGCATTAGTTACAGTGTTGACCCCACCCTTAGCCCAGTGCCTTGACCCACTTACTTCTCAGCTCCACCCTCCACCAGGATAACCGTTTACATCTGCCAAGTCCCTTCAGAAAATAACTTCCATTGTCCAACCCATGATCTGACAGCTTGTATCTGAAGCTTTCTTGGCTTCTGTGATTCCAAACACGTCAACTGCTGACATCACAACAACAACATATTATCAAGATGGACCAGGCCATAGAAAAGGACGCCATGCTTGAGAAAGTGATGCTTAAAGAGAGGGACTGCCCCAACAACTGTAACAGTTGACTGCAGAGAATGATGAGAATTGCACAGGTTCAGGCATAGTTGTCTATTGCTATGTTGTCATTGTTATGTGTCATCAAGTCAGAACCAGCACATAGCTGACCACCCTCCAACAGGTTTTCAGAGGCTATAAATCCTCTTTGTCCAATAAAGCAGCCGATGGATTGAAATCCTTTGCCTTTGGCTTGACAGTGCACTCCATACCACTGAGCTAGAGTCAAAGTCAATTTGTCAGCACCTGACAACAATAATATACAAGAAATATGTCTACTAAACAGAGTGAAGACCCACACCAAATAGTGTAGATTAACGAAATATGAGGAGATGGTATTTAAGCAATTAAAATATTTTATAGTGTATTGCATTGGGAAAATCTGCTGTCATGGACCTCTCCAGAGTGCTAAAAAGCAATGATGTTAGGCCGTGATCTCCTCAATTACTTGTTATGCTTCAGAGAGCTGGACAATGACTAAGGATGACAAAAAAGGAATAGATGCCTTCGAGTTGTGGTACTGGAGAAAAGTCTTGAACATACCATGGACTGCCAAGAAAACAAATAGGTCTGTCTTGGAGAGGGTGAAACCAAGTCTCTCCTTAAAGGCTAGGATTTTGAAGCTTCGTCTCACATATTTTGGGTGTGTGGCCAGGAGAGACCGGTCCTTGGAGAAGGACATCATGCCCTAAAATGTGGAGGGACAGTGCAGGGGAGGAAGAAGACCCCAGATTAGATGGAGTGATACAGTATCTGGGGTAATGGAGTTTAGTGTGTCGGAATTAGTGAGACTGGCTCAGGACAAAGAAGGGTTCAGAGCTGTTGTACATAGGATCGCTATACATCACAGACAGCTCAAGAGCACATAACAACAAAGACATACTGTGTTGGTGTTTGGTTTTTTTTAATTTAAGCCTCTTGTTTAGGGGAAGACCTTTGTATTTAAAAGTTAGTTGTTATTACATTTTGGAGGAACATTTTTCTAAGTGGTACAGCACTCTTCTGTCAATATGCTGTACTGAGGTAACCTGGGGTTGCTGTGATGCTGAGCCTTGTGCCATTGGGGTGTCAAAATGCCATAATGGTTACTCCTGGTGGTGTTACCAAACACTTTTGGTGGAGCTCCCAGTTTAAGACAGGTTTTGGAAGCAGGAGTGGCATCCACTTCCTAAACAACATGCCTCTAGAAACTCTTTGAACTTTGATAAATGACAATCATTATAGAAAGACTTCAGGCCTTTTGTTCACAGGCTCACTGTGAATCGTGCTTGACTCAATGGAAATCCACAACAGCAACAACTATTTTAAACTTCTATGTATTTCAGATGTATTAATCATATATTTCTATTTTTTAGAAGACACGAGCAACAAATGGCCAAAAGCCTTACAATAATGACATATGATGAGCCTGGTTTCTCTGAAGAAGGTATGTTCACCAGTACTAACATTGTACACTAGTTATATAAAATCAGAAAGCTCAAACTGTTTGAGCAAGAGGTAAAATGGGTATACCTTTTGAGTACTAGATAAATTTTCATTTCTAAGAACAGTAAAGTCTACACCAACCAAAATGGCTCAGGAAATCTGGTTTCAGCCACTCCATCATTGTAATCCCCTCTTTGCTATTACTTATTTAAATAAATTAGTAACATCTATAGGGCTGGCTTAGTGAGTATAGAGTTGTGCTGTTAACCCAAAAGCTGGCATTCAAGGTTCAAATCCACCAGTTACTCCACAAGAAAGAGACAGAGAAAGATGAGCAGTCTCCTTTCATTTCAATTTACAAGCATAGAACCAAATGAAACCCATTCAGTTAGAATCAGCTCAATAGTAATGAGTGATAAGTAAATGACAGATCATTTTAAAGATTGCTGCAGAGAGCTTTCAGGTTCATTGACTTTATAAATTAACCTTTTATTAACTCTTTGTTTATCTTTATAAAGAGTTTATGAACTTTTTTAGTTAAGCTTTTCTTGTTTGTTCCCAACCTTGAGTATGAAAAATAGCTCAAAAATAAGTCAAATTTCCTTTCTTCAGATGTTTATATGGTTGGTAGACTGGCCATTGTAACTATGGTATTATAGTTAGGTTTCTTTAAATCAGTTGCATCTCATAAAAACACAACTATGTCTCATAGTATATACAACATAATATAGTGTCTTACTTTATATACAACAGGATGAAATACTATCCAGTCCTGTAACATGAGCCCATTGCTAAAGCCATTATGTCAGTGTCCATGTCATTGACCATCTTCTTTTTCTATTTTACCTTGTATTATCTTTTTCTCTAGGAACTGACCCCAGGAGCCTGATTCTAGAATCAGAAGTTCTAGACTTATGTCCTAGCTCTTCTACTTAAACACTGTTTGATTTTAAATAAATTACTTAATCTTTCTGAGTTTTGGGCTCCATCTTCCTGAAGTATTGAGAAAATGTTCAGGGTAGATGTATTTTGGCTTATTGTTTGTCTGTTACTAAATCCCTCGTACCTATTTCCTAGCTATTCAAAACTAAAAACTAGACAATGACATTTAATAAAAATCTTCAATTTTTCCATTTAACAAATAATGTCCTTATTTTTTTAAAAAAGAAACTCCTCGTTTTTAACTTAATTAAAACCTTTCTTTTTTTCCCAGTACAAAAAAGTTTCTGGTGAATCAGTGTATTAGTAATAGAGTCTGAAATTTAATTTTAGAAGAAAGATTTTAGACATTTACAACATGTGTCTATTTTCATGTGATTCTTTCCCCACTAGATTCAAGGCACTTAAAAACGATTTCTTATCAACTATCTATGGATGTTCCAGAAAAGAAGCCAGCTGTTGACAAAGTATTTGATTTTCAGCTAGAGCTCAAGAACTTACCCATTGTTTGTTGTGATTCTAGGGTAGCATGTGGAAAGGTAATTAGCTTGTAATTTTTCAAATTTTGCTTTTCAATTTCTACTTGACTTTATAACTATTTCTTAAAATGTTTCATAAGGAATTATTTTACTTTAAAGGAGTCTTGGAAGCACATTAATAAATTACTCAGCTGCTGATTGAGGTGTTGGGGAGGGAGGGGCTTACAACATTCCTGGAGGGAAACTACTCCAGTTGGGGAACCTGGTACCACAGGGCCAAAGTAAACAATGGAATTTAAGAGAGGGGGCTGCAATCAAGTAAGAGTCTTCTTTTCAGAGCTTGTAGATTGAGGTGATAGAGAGGGAACTACCTGCAACCCCCCCTGGGCAAAAACTACTCCAGTTCAAGAACCTGGCTGCACCATTCTGCAGACCAAAAAGAACAATAGACTTCAGGAGAGGGAGCTGCAATCAGGTGAGAGACTTACTCCCAGAGCCAGTACATTGAGTTGTCTGCAACTCCCCTGGAGAGAAACTACTTCAGTTAGGGAACCTGGCCTCTGAGGGCCACTCCACAGACCAAAGAGGACAAAAGAATTTAAGAGAGGGAGTGCAATAAAGTGAGACATTCACTCCCAGAGGCAGTACACTGAAATGCTGGGAAGAGAGTTGCCTACAGCCCAACTGTACAGAAACTGCTTAAATTAAGGAACAAGACCTTGCAAACCAAAGAGGACAAGAGACTTTAGGAGTAGGGACTGCAATAAAGTGAGATTTTTGCAAACTTCACTGCAGACCAGAGAGGACCTGAAGAAATTTAAAAGGCATATTTTTCTGCATTACAGGCCTAGAAAGGACTTCTAGTAGAGTGAGTTTCCTACCACAATAGACTAATCACTTTAAGCCTGTACCTTATCAATAACACCATAAAGAAAAGGAATTGTCAACAACCTATGCAGACAGACTTGAAACTGCCTAACACATGCCAAAAGAACTTAAAGTAATGTCAAGAAAACAGCAGACAGCAGCATCAAATGTTGTGAAAAAAATAAGTCTTCTCCTAAAAAAAAAAAAGACAGAAATATATTGACCTGGAGTCAGATGAACAGTAACTGAAGAAGGTACAGATTATGGAATAAAGAATGGAAGCAATAAATAAAGCAGATACCCCAGAGAAAGTGAATCAAAAGACATATATTGATTGATGCAGAATTATATGAATAACTACAAAAGAAATATAAGTAAAGCGAATACACTAGAACTAGGGAGTGACGCTGAGGAACATGAACAACTACAGAAGAAATTGCTAAAGATGGAAGAAAGAATTGAAACAACAGATAAATAAGTACAAGAATTTTTTTTTTAAATCACAAGACAGAGTACAGGCATCACAGTACTGGAAATAGCAGAAATGCATGAAAATGCAATCCAGAATATCAAGACCAAAATGGCAGAAGGTTGAAACACGCTGG